ATCCTCAAACTTGTCTTTCTTGTCCATTTGGAGGCAGGAATAATTGATACTCCTTGAGAAATGGATCTTAAGGCAGAGCATTTTTTAGCATTTCAGCAACCAGATATTCTATTTAAATAACATGAATAGCTTTTTTAGTTTTTAGATAAATTTTTAGCAATTTATGTTGCGAAATATGCTGATGCAAAAACGTGTATAAATAACCTGTATTTTTTTATTTTATTCAAATTCTTAAATTGGTCATAGTTGAGGCTGTGGTTTTTATAGAAGTTAATAAATGATTTGAGACATTATTGAATTAATAAACTTGTTGTAATAATATCATAAATGGAACTGTAATGTTATTGGAAAACAAGATTTCTTTTATCAGTAATACTGTAAAATGTTCCTTTTTCTTCAGTAATAAATAAAAGGTAAGATTTGTATATTTGAAAAGGAATTAAATCATTTACATGCCTCCTAATCAATTAAAGTACTAAATTTAGATTAGGTAAAAGGTTATAAATAAATACTACAGTGTTTAAAAGATATTCAAAAAGATTTAATGTCTGTAATTGGGAATGGAATTTTACATCTTTAATTTACTATTAAAGCAGATGTATAAGCATATCTTAAATTTTTTAACTTGTTTTTTAAGGAGAGGTATTGATTCTCTCTCTCTCTTACACACATATGTATTCATGTAAATGCGCTTACAGAGATCAAGAAAAGTGTTGTGAATTACATAAGATGGCACTTCAGCTTGTCATTTCTGCTCAAAGAAATGTGTGCGTATTCATGTATTTGAGAAAATCCTTTTCAGAATTTGTTGACATGCTTGTAAATTTAATGATGTAATATATAGTTAGCGATTTTTACTTCTACAGTAATGGTGAGCAAAGTAAGTAAATCCAGATTAAAAAATTTTCATTAACAAATAAATGAAGACTGAATATCTTTATAAATGGTGAGGGGGCCACGATATTAGGGACACATATTTTTTAATACAAACCAGTCAGTCAGTACTGTACAGTCATGTAACAGAAAGGAATATTTTGTATAAAGCATGCTGATTTTGAGAAGAGCTTGATAGTTATGTGTACATGTAGCATGAAAATGGATGAGACAAAAGATTTACTTGACTTTGAATGAGGCATGATCGAGATTGCAAGAAGACTCCAATTCCAATGTATCTGGACTGTTTCAGATTAATAGGCAACAGTATTTTTAGTGTTTAAAGAGTAGCAGTTGAGTAGAAAATTTTCAGGCAACTGCAGTAAGAACAATTCTGGTTAGAAATTGCTGATAAGTGAAAGAGATGAAAGACATTGATGAGTGAAATGGATGAAAAGCATTGGAATAAGCCTATAAACATTTTGCAGCAAAAAAGGGCAGCAATATGACATACTGCTCAGTGGCGTATAGGGCCGGAGCGATTTCGGGCCGTTTAAGAAATTAAAACGATCGATTCGACACAGATGACTTGGCGAGACAACCCTGCACGTGAGGGATAGATGGATTTGAGGATTACATATTGCACTCAAATTCATATGAGATATGGTAACTGTAGGGTAGGGGTAGAGTTGAGCCTATAGTCTACAGCATTGATAGTCATAAAGTAGATTTATGAAACTACAGTACAGTCATGCTCTAATTTAATTGTGAAATTGAAAATATTGCATTATAACTGCAATTAAAAAAGACTAGAGAATTTTACAGTATCACTGAATAATGTAAGTTGATGACAAAAATATTGCAATTGGATGTGTTTTACATTACCTTTTAGATACGTAGAATGGATAAACAAAAAATCAAAGGATGTGCACAGAAACTTTGAGGAAAGTGATAACAACTACTGAAGGATTCTTCAAAACATAGCTAAAAAATTCACGAATATGTATCTTGGATTTACAAAGCCAGAGCCTTTGACAGTTACTGCGCAAACACAAGAAGACGAGTCCACCACTTCAAAACCATTTGAAACTGAAATATCAAACACGTGGGAGGACAATTTGGTGCTGCTAACAACAGACACAATATAGAAATTATTACCGTAGCAACAACAAAGTGCATCATCATCGTCCTTTTCATATTCATTGGCTTTCTATTTTGTACGACTGACAGCAGCTGAGGATTGACAGAATTTTATTAGCAAACATCCCTGCCAATTTTCAGCTTGAAAACAATTGACTTTTCTTCCCAATCTAGTGTTCTGTCATCCTAGTGGAAGTAACAGAAAATGATTGAGTTTCGGTAAAGAGACAAATTATTCAGCTTCATTTGTTTACTTTATTCCAACAACGCTAATGAAAGTACTTTTCTTAATGGAGGAATGAGAGATTGGTGCCACGCAATGCAACGCGCGAATGAACATGAAACGAGTAAAATTCACAATAAATGTATAGAAGCACATATCATGGATGTAAAAGGAAAAGACATAATATAGTACTGAGCTCTCAGAAACGTCAACAATTCTTAAAAAAAAAAAAAAAAAAAAAAAAAAAAAAAATGCAACAGAATGAAAGCAAGTGTTGGAAGTAATTACTGATGTTATTCAATTTATCGGAAAAGAGGAATTGCTTTCCAAAGTCATGGGAATGAAAAATGTGTGAAGCTTAAAAATGTTAGATGTCAATGTTGATCATGGAAATTTCCTGGAAACGATACTATTACTTTCAAAATATGAACATCGGAGACATACCAGAGTTATAACGAAACATGCTGATCATCAACATAGAGGGAGTAGCATAACACTGTTATCTAAAATGCCGAAATATTATATCATAATTAGCATCAAGAATCTCATGAAATGATTAATGTTAGCTGAGATTCAAGAAGCGAATTTTTGTTCACTTCAAACTGATACTTCTACTAGCATAAATCAAATGAACCAATATTCAGATGTTGGGTACCTTTATAAAGGAAACGTATATGAAAGAGTGATAGGTATTTTATCTTGTATAGATTCTGCTGGACTCGGTATGTGGGGTATGATCATCAACTTCTGCGAGAGCATGGACATTGATGTCAGAAAATGTATCGGCAATTCTACAGATGGCGCGTCAAATATGCACGGTGCTTACAACGGGTTTACTTAAATGGTTGAGTGAAAAAGTACCTCGCCAAATTCAGGTTTGGTGTTACTCCCATGCTCTAAATTTAGTATTGGTTGATTGTACGAACAGCGTTTTAGAAGAAACTTCTCTTTTTTTTCCTAATAAATGAGTGTGGCAAATTCTTTAAAGAATCTTATCAAAGAATAGATGTGTGAAGAGGAATCAATGACAAAACCAAATCTGTGAAGCTTCTTCTGCCCTGTGAAACTAGATGGAGTTTCCAGTACTATGCAATATAATGATAACTTACGAGAGCATTTCATATGCGGCCTTGCTGCAGGCATATTTTTTCCTGCCAGGGCTGATTTCTTTGGTCAATCCACCACTGATAATGCATGTCAATACAATTCAAGTGCATCACAAAACATATATCTGTGTGACAAACTGCGTAATGAAAGGGTGTTAATAGTAGAGTATTGGGAAGGATACCTGTGTCGTTACTTATGAGCTGGAAATGTGTTATAAACCCAGATGCAGCAAAACTGGATGATTAGGGTGGAAGAAAATTGCTCGATTTATTGAATTTTATTTCCATCTCTATCACGCAGATGACGGGGTCAGAATACGACTCAAGTAGAACGAACAGATGAATTCCTTTTTCCTAATGATAACTCTTCAAGCTGGTAATTTAAAATTATGGTCTGGGAAATATTTTCTTGGAACAATTTTCAAAGTTGTTAAATTTCAGAAGCACAGCTTGCCTCAGTATTGCTGCCAATCATGTGCATTCTTTTATGATGTTCCTTGATACAGATGATCACTTTTAGCGGAACAGCATCTTTGTTATTATGCACGATTTATCTTAAGCTGGTTTGAAGAGCATGATACAAAGTTCAAATTGTTCCTCTGGCCAACTCTGACCTCAATCATTTGTGGGATGAAATGAAATTCAGTTCAAAGTTTCAATGTTCAAACTTTGGAAATGTGACTGTCCAGTACGTATGGGCTATTATTCCATGCTGAGGTAATTGTCATGCTCTGGCTGTGGACTTGTTCAGGCCCAGAACCTCAGCTATGACCAAGGCTTAATGTGTTATTAAGGAAGATCTCTAATATTTCAGTCATTCAATGTATATGCTTTTACAAATTTGCAGAGGCGTAACTAGGGTTTTCGGTGCCTGGGGACAACTGAAGATATTGCGCCCCTTTCCTGTGTGCCAAGAATGGAAAACATTTCATTCTAAAATTCCGTGACATCAATTTGGTGCCGCCTGAATGCTGCACCAGGGGACATATGTCCCCCCTTGTCCCACCCTAGTCATGCCACTGCAAATTTGAATATTTGTAATGTCTCAGAAATTTGATTGGTGTCTAATATTTTATTTAAGTATCTAATTTTTCTGTCATAGTTTAAATATTTAATTATTTTCATACTTAGCCAAACACAGTGAAGCCCTATCGGGTGGTCGAATAGTTAGGACTGCTGAATACTTTTAGTTTGACCTGCCTCCTCGTAGACAGATAGCCCTTGTGGCATTGTCACATTCAAGTAATCTAACCAAACACACTGAAATGTAGCAGTGTGAAATCTTTCAGTGTGTCTATCTCATCACAGACAACCACCTCAGAAAGTACTCTATTTTTTATAGCATAAATAAATGACAGTATTGAATATTTCTTCAAGTCAGTTTCCCCCACAAAAGTCTTAAGACCATTAGGTTATATAAATGGTAATCTTAGGGAGCTGTAGTGTTTAGTGCTTTAATTTTTTCAGTATTTTATTATATAAGCTCTTTCTTGTACCATGCAAATAAGTATATGTTAATTTTGAACTTTCAGTATTTCCTTTATTTGCTGACATAAAATATTTTCTATTTTATCAAAGGGGAAAAAAATAATAAATGTATTTTAAAATAAGGTTTAAAAGTTATATCAAAGCCCTCTGAAATTGATTTTACTTTTTAGAGTACCTTATCCTGTCTTAAAAAGCATGAATAAAATTTTCCTGGGAGATGGTCCTGGGAGTAAATCTGAAATTGTTGAAAATCTTCTTCAGTTTTTTTTGAAGCCAACAAGTAAGTTCTTTTTTCGTTTTAAGTTAGGAAAAAAAAGGTGCTATTTTCTGTTATTAATTTATTAAAATAACAGAATAATTTTACTTACTTAATCCTCTCAATAAATAATGGAATAGTGTAATAGTACTTAATAATGGAATAGTGTAATAGTACTTAATGAATAATGGAATAGTGTAATAGTACTTAATGAATAAATGGAATAGTGTAATAGTAATAAACATTTAATCCTCTGAAAAGTAATAGAACTCAACCTTCAGAATAACTCACCCTTTTTTATTTGCTGACTAACAGCAGTATTTAAATAGCATTTATTTTCCTATATTTATATAATTATTTTACTCTATTTTTATAAAATTCCATTCATTAGAATGATGTTCGGATCATTAAAGAAAGTGAAGTTTTTTGAATAACATGTTGATATGTAGTAAGTAAAATAAATCTCATTACAAAATAAAACCATTCATTTTACTTAGAAGAGCAGTAGTAATTATTTAATAATATTTACTTGTGTATTAGAAATTTTTAGAGGTATCAAAATGTTAACCCTGTGCTGAGTTAAAACTTTTTGAAATGAATTGAATTATTTAATTATAAGAAAATACACACACACACATCTGCTACCTTCTGCCTTTGCATCTTTTCTTTTTTTTCATTGAAAATTTCCCCAGGAGAGACATTTTGTTTAAATCATTTGTATGTGATGTGTGTATAGATGTATATATATATAAAGAGAGTCTATAAATATAAAAATGTAAGCAGATTTACAAGAATTTTTTTTTTAATCCTTTGTGGTTGGTGAGCATAGAAGGCAACGGACAAAATTAAAAGCAAAACCCCTTTAATTAAGAAAAAATGTTTCTGATTATAAAAGACAAGTACAGTAGAACTCCAATTATCCAAACCAGTTGGGACCGAACCCCATTCAGATAATTGGATTTTTTCCGAAGAAAGGCTCTCTGTACACTTTAATTACTGTATTTTGAAAATTCAAGAGAAAAAACTAGTTTTAAAAGAAAAAGAGGTTTTAATGAATTAAATTGAAAAGGCAACACTTTTACATACATGTTATATAGCGTACTGTAGAGTACTTACAAGTGCTGAAAGTCATTGCTTGCTGAACATCTCAGTCAAAGTAAGCTGTTTGATTGCCTTATCTGTTTTCAGGCAGCCAAGTTACGCATCTGCTTGACAATGAGAAGATGCATGGTATAACACTTGGACTGATGCTCCATTCACTTCAACGCAGTTTCAAGGCGCCAAGCACTTCACTAGCTGATGGTCCTGAATCTGCTTCAACTTCGACATTAAGGTCATCTTCTTCGTGGACACTTTCTACTCTCACACTTTCAATAAGTTCATTATCATTTAGAATTTGAAGCCCAGGGACTGACGAATCACACACCATCCATTCTGCTGTATCCTCAGCACTAACTTCTGAACATCCAGGAATTTTCAAAAGAATGTTTCTTAATTCCTCTTGTGACACTTCATCTTCTTCTGTCTGTTCCCTTTCCTTTTCTTAAGCTTATGTTTACTTTTCCTTCTCTTTTGTTGATTCTGAAAAATTCTGAAAGCGATTCGGATTGTTGGAGTTTGGATAATTGGAGTAGTACTGTACATTTAAGAAGAATAGTATATCTGGCAAGCTTAAGGGGGGGGGAGAAAAGCAAAAATCATTTAATTAACCGCTTCCCTTACACATTTTTTTTGAAAAAAATTGCAAAAAATCATATTTTTTAAAAATTTTATTATTAAATACAACAAAACGAAACAAATCAAAATACGTAGGTTTTGAAGTTGAATTTTTAAATTTTTTAAGGTGTAAAAGCATTAGTTTTAATATTAGTTTACTATCCCGAGTTATCTCGGGCAAATGAAAAAAAAGTTAAATATTAGTCTTTGTATGACAGTTTTTGAAACAAGGGACAACACAAAGTGATACCTGACATTCTACACTGATATCTGGTCTCTTTTCTTACTGGCTTACCACTGGAATCTCTTTCATGGGAGCACAGAGTACACTGATTCGTTGGATTTGATTTTTTTTTTTTAAATAAATTTTTCCCACCTCTTCATAATTACTATTTGAAAAATCATCGTTTTCGCTATCTTGCATCATCGCCATTATTTTTTTTTCCAACGCATGCATTCTTCTTTATACATTACTAATCCACAAGCCGACGTATACTATATAATAGGGTAACACGTGACCAGTCCCTCCAAAAGAGCCGCAAAACCAAAAAAATTTACCGAACTGCCAATCAAATCTGAATATTTTCTTTCATTTCCTCTAGGCCAAGTAAAACTGTGATGAAACAAATCGTACTAACAAGTTCACCCAAGTTTTCATGGGATAATATATAACTGCAATATATACAAACTCGAGATAACTCGGGATAATCAGGCAAGCGTTTAATAGAATGATCATAAAAAATCCCAGTCTTTGTGATGGAGCAGACCACAGTTCTACACAATCAACTACTTTTCTGAATTATTTCTGGGTGAATTAAAAAAAAAAATAAGGCTGCTAATCAAAAATGAAATCTAAAATTCATTCCAGACTCCTAAGCAAGCAGAATACAAAATGGCAGCACTTAATTACAAAATTGGAATGAACAAACAGAATTAGTTCTGCAGTTCTTCTAGTTGAAGGGAATGAAATCCTATAAAGGATTAAAAAACACTTGTTATTGCCAAATATTGGCAAATAATATAAAAAACAAACATGAAAATTAGTTTTTTTTATTTGTAAATATGAGAATACTAGTTTTGTGTCATGGTTTGAATACTTAATTTCATATTTTACTATATTGAATGCATTTAATTTCATATTTTACTATATTGAATGCATAAATTTGATGTTTAAAACAAAATATCAAATTTAAAGTTTATTTCCACTCCGCTACTTAAACCATGTATGTCTTCAGTTTCTTCATTCACTTTCAAATCATATATAATGTAAATGTCGATCATCCAAAATTTATTTGTCGTTTCTCTAATACTTTTTTGCTGCATATATTATAGCATGCAAAATAGTTGCAAGTTGTCATGGTATGGGCTGTACAAGTCTGGAAAAGATTGTGTCAGATTTGCAAGCAGAGATCTTGCAGTTCTCTGTAGATTATAAGGATGTTATTGTTGAGTTGTTAACTGATGTTCCATGATATTCCAGATGTGCTTAATATTAAGAGGCGTGTTTCTGAAATCACGATCACATAATTCTGGTATTATGATAAAGTACTGTCTGCTGTAAGAGTCCATATCCAGTGGGAAAGTAATGAAAGAGTGTAATTGGTCTGTCTTGATATTTACATAATCTGGTGCCTGTTATTGTATATTATAAATTAACCATCACTCCCACGAGATCTCTTCAAAGCGTAGTACCTGGGACGTTGGCTTATTTACTTTACACAATACATGTGTTGGTCAGTTGTTTGCTTCGAAGAGAGCATAGTCATCAATTGAACAGCATCATTATGTGCTATAAAAGAAACGGATTAATTTGAATGGGTAACATTTATATTCATTATTTCCACTCATTATTTCATGAGTCCACCGTTGTTGTAAACATCAATGATTCTAGGTTATCACAGGTACACGAATGGAAAATTTGTTGTAAGTAGTTGTTTGCTGTAAATAATTTCAGTGAGTGCTGTAATATTCTTTCAGTTGTCAATTGGAGGCACTGGCAGCTGTTTGTCTTCATCAAGTGGAGCACTCTCCAAAATCCACATTAGTTGAGTTGGTATGGCAAAGCCTTAGCATCTTTTATTGATTTCAACACTGTTTTTCAGCTTTTGGTTGACATTAACAGCAGCAGCTCACAAACACCTTATGAACAGTGTTTCGCAGATATTCATACCCAGCCTTCAGGCTACTACAACCTGGTCTTTAATTAAGTTGCTTGTATCAGCAGCTTTCCTCAGCCATATGCAATTGACAAAATGATGACTCCACCCCTGGCAGCCATTAAATAACATCCACACCTGTGCCATTTGTGCTAGTGAGTGTATTCTCACAACATTAGTGTAGTTATAATGTTTTGGTTGATCAATTGTATACACACGGGCGTTAAAGAAAAGATTGTGTATGTGTATTTAAATTTAAATTATTAATAGAGATTATCCCCTAAGATGAAACCCAAAGGAAAAATAAATTATTTCATTTATAAAACCTTAAAACCATTAAAGGATGACCTTGTTGGAAAATAAGAGTTTAAATTATTGTTATATAACTTTGTAAATTGAATTAATAAAATATGTAAATAAAAACTAAATTCTAATAAAAATAAAAAAAATGAAAATAATGATTAATGCTGATTTCATGCCAAAAGGCTGAGTTTCCAAGGCAAATGCCTTTCCCGATAAAAATACCAATAGTTACTGAGTTCTGGTAGTGTTTCATCCCTCTTGTGTGACTGAAGGAAATCCATGCCTCAAAGAACAGCATGATCATTATGCATCAAAGCACAGTATACGTACAATTCCACCAGCTATGTGTCTGAGCTTGCAAGTCCACCCATGGGCGAGGGATTTGAAATTTTTTGAAATTTTACAAAGTGAATGGTCAAAATTAATCGTTAACTAGTTAATAATAAATCCATCTATATTTTACCTTGCATATACTTGCAGTTTTATGTTTATTAACCCCTTCGCGCCGACTGTCACGTATACGTGCCAGCAACGAACACACTTATCTACCGGCCGACACGCAGGCGTGCCAGAACATTGTTGCATTTTCTACCGACTGTCACGTATTTGTGCCAGTACCTTGAAACGTTTTTCAAACTATAATTTCTGCCACAAGATGGCACTGTATGTCCATATGGTTTCAGATACATGTACATTAGACCTTCTACTCGAAATGAGAGAAGCATGACTCACATACACGTGTTTTGATTATATAAACAAACGGGGAACTAAATGTTTCGAATGGCATGATTTTTATGACGTCTCTTTAAATCGCACTTTATTCGCACGTGGTAGTTGTTTATTGTAAGTAGAAGTTTTATATGCGCTAAAGCGTTGAGTATTTCGGTTTACAGTTCAGTTTTTAGAAAATAATTAGATCTTGTTAGAAGTGAATTCTTTCTGTTTTTGCCGTTTCAATGCCGAAGCGTCGAAAATGTTTAACAGAGCATGAAATAGCAGAAATGATGCAGAATATTTCAGATATTAATTCTGAAATTCTGATATTCTGATATTGATTCTGAAAGATGAACTGAAAGACATTTTCCAAAACTTTGTTCAGAAGAGACTGATAAGAAAATGAGACGACGATGCTTCGTTTGTTCACATTCCCAGAAAAATCCTCCAAAACGGCAAATGAGTTATTACGAGTTCAAGGAATGTAACCTAGGACTGTGTGTAGATCCCTGTTTTAAAATTTTTCATACAAAAAGAGAAAGTTTTCAGATGTATAATGTTAAAAGTCATAAAATGGTGAGTAATTAAAATAAAATGTGTAAAATATGCATTTAAACAAGAAATAAGGTAATTAAATGACATTCAAATGGTCATAATTTGTGTAAATTTTATTAAGATGAGATTGAAGGAGAATAGTACAAAATTTGACTTAATACTAAGAAGCTAGATTAGTTAAAAATCTAATACTTCATGATGTTACTTTTTATTTATTTATTTATTTAAATATTTGAACCACAGTTTCTATGAAAGCAAAAGTTTCCATTAATTTTATAATAATTTTCCTTTATATATAAAATTATCATTGAAATTATATTTAACATTGCTAAATGAATTTTGATAGGAAAGTAATTTTTTTATTTTGAAGAAAAAATTGTCCCCAATTGAAAATTGTTTTTGCAAAGTAATTTTTATGTTTTGTTAACAATACACTTTAATACAATTGTAACAATTACAATAATAAACAATAAGATTTCTCAATTGTAACAATTACAATTAATAAATCTTATCTTTTCATCCCTTATAAATTTTGAGTGTCAAAAGTAAGCACTTATTCCAAAGTAATGTCATATTATAATTCCAAAGTAATATCATATTATAATGTAATATCATTGACATGACATATTTGACATCCTTAACTTGACCTTTGCCCCATGGTTATTTCATTATTTGTGCTGTTTAAAAACAGAAAACTAATGAAAACATGAAATATTTATTTTTAGGGTCACCTGTATACATGAGACCAGTGGAAGAAGATTTAGAGGTTAGCATTTTCTTAGAGTAAAAAATATAATTTGTAATAATCAAATATGATTTTTTAATTCTGAAAAAGATAAAAATTCTTGAACCTATGCAAAGAAGAAAGAAAGTTATTCTATTTGGATTGAAATATTGTATCAGAATTGTGTATGATTTGTAGAAATGTAAAGAACTGTTGATTTCTTGTATAATAATCTGTACTCCTTGAGATGAAGGGTTGTGTGTATTAGAGAATTATGAAGATTATAGATTGTCTTTTTGAATCTTGTTTACATTTTTCTATTCTAATATCTACATTAAATTTGGATTATTTGCGTATAAGTAATTAAATATATCCATGCTTTAAAATTTTCTTAATCAAGACTCATTGAATACCAAACAATTATATTTTTGAAGCAGGATTATGCTCAAAGAAAATAATCTGAGTGTAAAGGAAGAACATGATGGAGAAAAAGTGGGTAAATGGGAGTAAAGTACGCTTTTGTAAAAATGTGTCAAAATATTTAATTTAAAACTGTGGGTACAAAGCTTCTTTTTACATTTAAGAATGGCAACACGCTAACCAACATGGTCACGTGATCGCTTTGCGAGAGACTGAAACAGGAGAAGCAATAATGAAGTTCAAAAGTGAAGGACTGAGAACTCATCTTATGATGTTGTTTCATTTTTATAATGCCATGACTCTGAACTCTCCTTATAATATGATTCTGTTTAATATGATGTTGCTCTCTTTTCATGATGGACTGACATTTTTCTTATTAGTCCAAAGGCGCAGTTTGCCCTGAAGGGACTATTAATTTCATTTTGGCATTTTGTGTCACATTTGTGTGTTTTGGCATTATGCATGTTTCTCGCATTGTGATCAAACAACGGTACCTAGAGCCATGAAAATTTGAATAACATAATCTTCCATAGAATATGGGCATGTGAAAGCCCTAATTTTAATTTGAAATGTTTTATTATCAATTTCAGATTTTGTAACACTTCAACGAATTTTTGATTAAAAAACTAAATCGTTTCAAAGCGAGCAATGGCAACACTGTATGAAAAAAAAATTTATCTCCAGCACATGAGACTCTATTGGAAATTCTAAAGATATGCTCATTTTAAAATTAGTTTGCAATATTGCTGTTTAACTGAATTTTATAGTTTGAGTATGTAGAATATGATATTTAATAAATAAAGGTAACACAAAAAATGTTAAAAAATACTCATTTGGATGTAATTTAAAATCTGAAATCTTTCAGATTTTTTGTCTTTTTTCTTTTTATATGACATCTTTGTCTTAATTAAGTTCACGTGTTTTCGTCATTAAATTACTAAATGTGACTACCATTGTCATCAGTACAACTACATCCTACATATATATATGTATCCTTCGGCAAAATCATTTTCAAAATATTTTTTTTTTGCTCTTAAATGAAAGAAAAAGTAATTAAATAAAGTTAATAAAACAAGAATAGTAAAGGCTTTTCTAAATTTAATCACTGTGTTAATTCTGCTGTTACATTTTGTGCCTGTACATTGAAATTAATAATATCATTAACAGTTACAAAAAGTGCTAGAACTGGAATTTTAGATTTATTATTGTTATTTAACCCATTCTTCTTTTCTGTTTTATTTTTATTTTATTTTATTTATTTATTTATTTCTGACGCAGAAAATGCAAGTGCTGTTTTAATAATCTATCCCTAATTTGTAGCTGGTGTAAACAAGTGTGTTCAGTGGATGAAATGTAAACAAATTTTTTTAATGAAATGCATGAAAAGTTATTGACGGATTCAGTGTTTCTTTTATAAACAAAATATGTTATGAATGTAGTATATATTTGTTAAAAAACATATTTTTTTACACATATAGCGAAAAAACTGCTATGATATTTATCTATTTACCATGTTGAATTTTTGTGGAAACTTTTTTTTTTTTTTTTTGGTTTATATACAAAAATGAACATGGATTACAGAAATTTATGGATTAGGAAATCACAGATTATTGGTATTCTGCTGTGTGTCATTCACTGTCTAATTCACCAACGGTTAAAAATAAGGATAAGATGTCTGAAATAACTTTATAAACTAATTTTAACTGTGGTTGATAATGGATAAAGAGTATAGAGAATTCCATTGTTTAAATTAATTTGAAGGAAATAAGATATTTTAAAATTTTACTGCTGGAAAAAATTTCAGTGAGCTGTTTTTTAAATAGCAGCATAAAGTATGAAAAGTCTGTATTCAAATAGAAAAAGGGAAGTCTTGCAAATTGAATGACTTTTACCTTTAGTTTCAGAAAGTAAATAATAGTAGTAATGCCAATAGTAATATTAGTAATAATATTAAAAGAATGGTCTTATAGAAGTATTAACTTTTTAAAATTTGATTAGATTTTTCTAAATTGAATAAATGTTGATCATTGTGTATTACCAAAAATACAGAAGTTTATTATTATTAAAACACTAGCTTAAGAAAAAAATAAATGCTAAAAATTAATTTTATAAGTAAGCTTTTTGACACTCGCATCACTTAAAAGAAAATTATTTTCAGCCTTAAAGGAGGTTGTTCTAGCATAGCAAATATATTCAAGGAGGAAATATGTTTTTGTGTTGAAAAAAATCCATGTTGTCTGTCATTTGTTCCTTTCTTTGGAAATAGGAATTTTATAGATAAAATATAAAATGTAAACCCTTATATTGCAGCTGGGTTATATATAAAACTTGTATGATAGATGTAGAGATTAACCCATAAGTGATAAAAGTTTCTCCAATTTATGATTACAATATATATTGACTGAAACTTTTGTTTCACGTTGTACATTTGTATTGTCTTGTATACACTTTTTTATTCTTGAAGAGGTAAAACTGCTGAATGCTGGTAGTCTGAACTGGGCTTGAGACTCAGTGAATGGTTTTGCTGCTTTATTGGTTTCATAGTTTTTCCCATGTGGATACTATCCAGTTTCTCTTAAAAAGGGCTCCATAAAAGCATCCCTTCCCATAGATAGCCTTTGAGTTGCTTTGTCATAATCAATTAAACTAACCTTTAAGAAGAATGGGTATCACTGTTTTTGTATATGTAGAAACAGACCCCGAATTTCCCAACAGACATGTCTTTTGTTAGTACATGTCATGGAATTTGCGTGCCACTGTATAGCCCCATTTTCAGATAAACTTAGCGTATTTTTTATGATATTTAATAACAAATATCTGTGTCTTTCTTGACTCACACGGGCAGGGAACCTACCCTCATAACAGTAACACATGATTATGCCACTGCTTAACTGTGATTTATTATATTTCCTTCGATGGGCCATTTTCTGTCAACTAGTTATAGCTGACTGTGACTATCTGAAATTTTGCTGTCTCGGGAATGCTCTTGATCATGACTTCACTTTTCTTATTTAATAATTAAAATGGCTGTTATTAACAAAACTTGGAAGTCAGAATTTAGAATAATTTACCATTTGCTTAATTTTGTTTTTGCATAATGTTGGAATAGTTGGTGTTTTAATCTTATTAGCAATGATTAATTTGTATTTATGTTAATGACAGTCTGTTTGTAATGAAAGATTTCAAAAACTTAGTTTTATATTGTGGTTCATTTTTTCTGTTTTCTCAGATGATTAAAAATAAACTATTGATAAAAATTTAATTTTATTTCGATGAAATTATGTTTCCAAGAAATCTATGAGATTAGAGTAAAAAGATAAAAGCTAAGGTCTCTTAAAAGTCAGTTTTACATATTTGAGAACGTGTATTTTGATTCTTATTTTAATCTTCATTCCAATATTACGATGTGCGGAAGGTGTGAATTTAATGGAAACTTCACTTTGTTTTTGTATTTTTAAAAAAGTTTGGGAGTAAATGCTAACTTAATTGCATCATATACATTATTTTCTTATTTTTGCGCCATCTGTTTTTTTTAAATAAGTGATACTAATGTTACTTTATTTCCTTTTAACTTTTTAAATTATATGATAGTAAGTAATTTAATAATTTGGGAATAAGTTTATTCAGAAATTAATATTGCTTTACAATTAATTTTTTATTTTCAGAAAACATTGGCAGAATATGAAAGATTAAAGGAATATACACTAAAAGGTAGTTTCTTGCTATTTGAAAAGAATTATCGTGATTGTCAAAATTTTTCCTATTAAAAAATTTAATGCTTAGAAATTACTTAATGATATTATGATTTATTTATATGATATTTTTACCTTCTTTCTTCATTTGTTCAGATTTGCAAGATTTTAATGTTAAAAGGTAAGGCCTATGCTCTTGTAATATCAAACAAATGAAGTTCAATTTAAAAAGAAGTTCAACCTAAAAATTGGCATAAATAACCATAACATTTTCATTGAGTACAAATTTATTGAAACTCAATCAAAGTTTATCAAGCTTTGTCATTATTTAGAAAAGTCAGTTGAAACTGTATGTAAGAGTTGGAGTACTGGGTTGAAAGATGAAAGGAAGAATTCAGAAAAGATTTTTCTGTGCTTCTGGCAGAAATTGAATGAAAACTGTATCATTAAAAAAATTTTTTTTATACAGGAAAATTTGAGAATTCTCTAAGGAATCTCGATTGAAAGAAAAATTAGCGTAAGCAATAATTTCGGCCTCCAAATCTGAAAGTTTTAATTTTTCTCTCAACAGTGGTATGTTATGCAGGATTTTTTAACATTTTTTCTGTCCACCACAGCATCGTTCTTATGCGGATAAACTTGAAGTATGTTTAAAATTATTATTACTTTTTAAGCAGTCCCCTTTTTCTCAGATATTACTGCGTAAACAACAAATACAGTCAAAAGTCGTTAATTCGGACACCCATAATCCGGAATGATCTATAATCCAGACCTTAAAGCTACAAACTTTCTGTGCATGCGTCGCGGCGCGCAATGAATTGGAAGTTGATCTGTCAGCATTATCCTTATTTTCAGGGCAGATGTTTTTATTTTATTTCGCTTATAATTCCTTACTAAATGTAGTATTTCATCTTGATGTACTCCGTCTTTGATATGATTTAAATCAAGTTCCTCGTCATTATAATTCGCTTCTGATGGTGAAGAAAGAGACACAGAGGTTATTGAAAACGAAAAAATTTCGATTGACAAATTAGTCGGTATTCTTGACACAGCAATTGTAGTACTTGAACAGCGAAACTTTGTAACTAAACAAGAAATATGTCTCTTTAATAGAATTAAAGAGAAAGTATTATCACATGAAACAAAGCAACTTAAACAACTTGCATTGAAAGAAATGTTTAATAAAGTAAACAAATAAATATTAAACCTTTTCTTTTTGGAAATTTTGATACCCTTCAGATCATAATTATTCTTTATTTCATAAATTATGGTTTCATATTTTTAATTTTGTAATTTCTGCATGCCATCTTACCAGATTTAAACTGATGATCTATAATCCGGAATCGCCGAAGTCCCACTGAGTTCGGATTAACGACTTTTGACTGTATGAATAATTAAACCCAAATTAAGTATTAAAAATTATAAAAATAAACATTAAGAACTGCAAAGTTATGGGTTCTAAATTGGGAAAGAACACTAATTAGTATTACAGTATTAGTAATACAACAACAACAAGTATAACAGCAATTAGTATTGTAATTATTTGGAGATGGACATAATTGCTCTTTTATGGGATCAGATCAGAATGGTTTGCTCACTGAAATGAAATCAATTCTTTTTAATGACTTATTACTCTCTAACAGTAACCTTGGTGAAAAAGATCAGGAATGACAGACAATATAGAGTGAAGATCAGAAAAAATCAAACAAATAGTGAGATTAGGACTACTTAGTGAGTTTGAAACAAAGATTGAAAAGAATTGAATTGGGAGTGGTACCAGGGTTCGTACGGTCCTTAAGAGTCCTTAAATTTTTTGGAACCGATTTTTGGGTCCTTAAAAGTCCTTAATTTCGGCCAAAATTACTACAAGGCCCTTAATTTTAATCATCTGAAATTTCTGCCTGTTTTTACGACTGCCATTTTGAGTGTGAATTAGCATTTTGGAGAAATATTTTTGGTGATTCACTGACGTATATGGTTATCTTTTGAATGTTTTCATGGGTTATAATTTATTTCTATTCCTAATATAAATGATGAGATACTCGAATTTCTAAGCAAGAAGTGAAACACAAGCACTTCGAAATTCATTTTTTTGTAATAAAGAGCTCTGAAACAATTTTCGCTTTTTGGAATGTGAATTCTTTTATTAAACAGTTCTAAATTTGGTGACTTGTCAACATTTTGGCGATTTTAAGATCATTTTCTATAGAAAATTTTTAATTCCGCAATCTGAGAATTTTTTGACGATTTTTTTAAAACATTGGATCATTGCTAAATTTCATTAAAATAATAACACATGAGTTATATTTAAAAATAACATTAAAATAAAGCGTTTTTATTTTTCGCTGTCGTATTATAAAGTTTCATTTTGGCAACTTATTATACAATATTTTGAATCTGAAAAATAAACAAGGTATAATGCTATAAAGCACAATTTACGAAACAGCTCTTAGCAAAAGCAAAATTAGCTATGTAATTAATTAAAAAATATCTTCTTTTTAATTTTTTCATAGTAAGCGTTTTTTCCCATGTAATTAACTCAGAATATTCAAAATTCTCAGAATATGCATAAGTTTTCTTTATAAAATTATTTTTACACATTTTCCCTCTTTTTTTTTTTTCGAAAATATTTTCTGACTTTTCGCTGTTGCAGAATTGGGATCATTTTTCTTTAGTATTTTTGATATTGCAGCTTGGAAAATTTAGAAGGATTTGAAGGCAAGTCTTATAGACCCATGATTCTAGAAGATTCGAGAAATATGTGACAAAATGAAAAATGTCTCCATGGTATCAACGCATAATGGATGTATTTTACAGAAAGTTTTCAATGAATTTCTTACTTTTTGGAGAACATCTGGAAGACAATGAAGACATAATATTTGAATGTTTTACTTCTGATACTAGAATCTTAACATGTTTATCTTCCCTTTATATTCTCTATTTTTCAGTAGACACAAGCATTGAAAATATCAAAAAATGCTTCTAATCACTTGGGCAGGCATTATAGAAAGGAATTTTTTTATTAATAAAGAAATTGAAAACTTACAATTTAAAAGATCCATCTAATGTGTCTTAATGCATCATATACAGAGCTGGCACTAGGCATTTTCCCATCTAATGCAATCTCTGTGGATCCTAAACTCGACTGCATAGTGTCTTTCTAAATTCTGCTTCCAATGCCTGTTTAAATTCTAAAAGTTTTGCCATTTCTAGATTTTGTTGTTTGGTGTGTTATTAAATCCTAGAAATTCTGCCACACCAACTCCGTAACCAGCCTTTGTCATATATATTTCATATTTCTTCTGAATTCCATATTACAAACGAAATTAAATTAGTCGCTTTTTCTATTCTAAATGCATTTAGTGGTTTTTAGAAAAACAGAAATCTTTAATTAAATCCAAAAATTCTAAAATGAAAAGGAAAGATGCTGGAGAAAGAAACTGAATACATATATGCAATTATTATATTATTATGTAAATTACCTAATTGTTCATGATTTCAGCCTTTACTATAATTTTCTATTTCTGTTTCCTCATATGATACAGTTACAGAGGTAGATTAAATTAAAATTAAATTGTATAATCTTTGACCACTAGTCCACATTTTTAGTTTGAATTTGACTGTTCTTGTTTAATTACGTCACTGTGAGATAGAACATGCCTTTATGTTTGTTCTAAGTTCTTTTTAAATAATGGGCTTATTTAAACTTTTGTCTGATATTGTAATTTCTTTCAGACATAGCGATAACTTTCTACATGTCTATCGGGGGTTTTGGGCTATTTAACTTTTACCAGATGAAGTAGATCCTCATAGGTGCGTTGTGGAGAGGTTAACAAGTTAGGAGATAAAGCACGCAGAAACTAGCAATAGTATTGGTTTGCATATTGAGACAAATCTCTAATTATTGTTAGAAAAGATGCTTAAAGAGAAAGACATTGATATTATCTAGCCAAAATGTTTGGAAAGGCTTCAAATTAAAATAAAAAATTAGGTCTCATTCTAGACAAGCAGCAGTCACATTCAGTCTTTTGTTATGAATGATGCTGATTATGATCTTACTTCTCATTTTAACCTATGCCGTTTGACATAAAATCTACCTGTTACTAAACCTCTAGACCAGCAGTTCTCAACCTTTTGACTAACGTGTACCATCTAAACAAAAATTGAAAACCTTTAGTACCACTACTACAAAGTACTACCACCACAACTCTTGAACAAAGCTCAGATCGCATAAATTTTCGAGTGTTGGAAAAAAACTCAGTCAGGCTGTTGGGGTTTTAATTTTTGAAACAAATAGTTAAAAATACTTTGCTTCTTTGTGTACCAGCGGTTGAGAACCTCTGTTCTAGGCTGACCAAGTATGTGACAAAATGAGACATAAAAAAAATCAAAGCTAACTATTAGTAAAACGTAAATGTCACTTATCTTCTTTCAAATATGTCCAACCTATTATAAGTGTAAACTGTTTAATGCTACTTGATAAACTACATGAAGTTTATTTTATTCTCAAACTTATTAATAATTATGTTAATTAATTCATGTTTAGTAATAATGCATACTATTTAGGGATCTATTTTACTTTTAGGATGGTATTACAAAAGTAAAATAATATTTTAATTAAATTTATTCAGTTCCCGTTTGCTCATAGGTCCTTAATTTTCTTCATTAGTGGTCCTTAAAAGTACTTAATTTCCATGTGCAGAAATGTGTACGAACCCTGGGTACAGGAACTCAATTAAGCACTCAGAACTGATTTGTTTCAACTGTAGTTTTGAAATTCTGTAAAACCTCTTTTCTACATGTAAATAACAGCAAAATTCTACAATAAAGTTTTTTTTTTTTTTCTTTTTTTTTTTCAAAAAGTTAGGAATTTATAAAATTTAACTTATAACATGGGATTATAAGCATTCTTTTCTACCCTAAAATGAAAATCGATCTTTCCTGGCACACTTCCATAAAGAACTAAATTCTTTTTTTTGCCAATCAGCCCAACACGTGGTGAATAAATTGAATCAGTTCATGAACAAATAGCAGATCTCTATTCCTGTTATGTTTGCTGCAAGAGCTCTCAGTGAACTGTTAAAAATCCATATTCTGGAATCGGAGTAAATTCACCAAATTCTTTGATTCCATTCTGGAGCAGATTGTCCAACTCTAGTCATTTGCAAATAGGAATTTATCATTTTTTCTGATAATCTAATTTTTTTTAAAGGTTTTATTATTTGAATAAATAGAAATTGGTAAATTCTTAAAAAATAATTTTGTATTTTTGTATGTAAGACTCTGTGCAAAAATTTCCCTCTGTTACATTAGAATTTTGGTTTTATTTTAATAATTGGACATATTGAGTTATTAGCTGTGATAATTTAATAAACTGTTTAAAGACTGTTTTCAGAAATTTGCCTGTTGCATTACAATTTCGTTTTTATTTTAATAATTTGATATTTTGAGTTCATGTATATTAGCTGTGATAACTTAATAAACATTTTAAAGAAAATAGTATCAATTTTGTCATAAATGTATGTTATTTTTTCCACAGTTTATGTGTGTTTAATTTGAATTGACCTTATATGATGAAATTCTTTAATTTCCCCTCCCCCCAGGCCCAACTCCAGTAGTTTTGGTTCAGAAGCTCACAGATAGTTTTATTCACCAGATAACAAATAGGGTATGTCATAATTTTAAATTGAAATATTATATATTCTTATTTCAGGTATATTTGAAAGTCCACCAAGTTTGGAATGTGTTCTCTTATTTATGGAAGGAAGTACATACAGTTTTATTCTTATGTTCTTCCAGTTGATGTTAACTATATCTACTATGACCAAAGAACTATATCTACTATGACCATATTGCATCTGTAACTCATTAAATGTGGTTTGTGTTTTAACTGGGAGAGAAGTTAATTCCTGATTAATCAGGGTAATTCATGGGTTAATTATCATAAATCGTGGTTAATCTGAGAGTAGTTAAAAATACAAGACACGAATAACCAGGGTTTGTACACTCCTTAATAGTTCGTAGGTTTTTTTCAAATTGATTTTTGGTCTTTAAAAGTCCTTAATTTCGATTGGCTAATTAATAATGCTCTAAAATTACTATTGGCTGGTCGAGTTCCTGTTTGCAAAACGATCTGCATCACTTTCATTATTTAAGTTAGATGATGGTTATCAATTTTGAAATGACATTGTTTAGAAAAGTTTATTAGCACTTATTGTTTTTTGAATAGAAAGGTGAGACACGCATGGCAAAAGGGAGGACCATTGCTAATTAAAGTTAGTATTTTCATTTACATATTTTTATGTTAGAGGCATATTACTTTAACTGTACATTTTAATTTGTGTATTTCCTGTTTCTGTGTGCCAAAAATAGTGGTTATCATAAACCTGTGCCATTTCCAAATTAATACATTATAAGGTATTTCTTCCACTTTCCTAGCATGCCTTCATGGTGTAGTGGTTCTGCACGCTGGGCCGGTATTCCAGAGGTCCATGGTTCGATTTCCGACAAAGGCAGTTGCTAATTTTTCATCTCTCCGGCTTCAAAAAAAAACCTAATGTCTTTACAGTGGCCCCCCGAACTAAAGGGGTTGTGGATGATGATTCTCCACACCCAGGATTTGGCGATTGGGTACCCTAAAAACCCCAGTCGCCCTTTAAAAGGGAAAGTATGTAAGGTATTTCTCCCATCTTCTTAGCGTGCCTTCATAGTGTAGTGGTCATCACACTGAGCCGGTATTTCAGAGGTCCGTTGTTCAGTTCCCGGCGAAGGCAATTTCTATTTTTTATCTCTCTTGCTTCCAAAAAATATTAATGTCTCTTCAAATATATTGTGTTATTATATGCGTAGCTGCTAGTAGATAATAAAACAAATTTCAAATTCAAATTAGGGTTAATCCTAATGTCCAAAAATCATAATGTCTGTACAGTGGCCCTCCGAATTAAAAGGGTTGTGGATGATGATTCTCCACACCCAGGATTTGGCGATTGGATTCCCTAAAAAACCTTGGCGATTGGATTCTCCTTTAAAAGGGAGAGTATGTAAGGTATTTCTCCCGCCTTCCTAGCGTGTCTTCATGGTGTAGTGGTCAGTACACTGAGCCGGTATTTCAGAGGTCTGTGGTTTGATTCCCGGCGAAGGCGGTTGCTAATTTTTCATCTTACCTGCTTCCAAAAAATCCTAATGTCTACAACATATTGAACAATTTTTACACAATGCTCTGATCCTCATAACTTACATAAGCCTTCAACAAATGATAGTTTTAGAGCATTCATTATTAATTAGTTAGTCAAATTGTATTGAAAGTAATTAATTTTGAGCTAAGACTTTGTCTCTAACACTTTGCATTTACTTTCTACTTCTCGGCTAATTAAGCCGAGAAGCATGCTCTCTTAAAAAATGTAAAAGGTTATAAAACAGGCTTACTTATTGCAGATAATTTTGTGTTGGTAAAAGTGTGTCAACCATACATAAAAAGGAAAGGGGCATGTCTGCACGTTTCATCATTCTATTATCACATTTACATGACTAAGCTTTTTATTGCTTTTTATTACATTTATCTTCTTCATTTTATATTAAATAATATTATTACCATGGTTATATATATGTGTGTAATGGATCATGTAAAAGTTTTAATATGTTAAGTTTTATGTATGATTTTCTGTTTTTTGCAGGAAAACTCAAGCAATAGTCTCAACTGTAAATCAAGTAAAATGTTTTTCTTAAACATTTTCTGAAAAGCTTGTTCTTGTAGTTTATGTCTGAATTAACTATTTGAAAAATATTATATATATATATATATATATATATATATATTATTACATACACACACACGCACACACACACACAGGTAACCCTTGTATAACATGGTAGATAGGTTCCTAGAAAATGCCGTGTTGTATGAGACCGAGGGCTAGTATAAAAAAAGGGGGTCACATTCCGAAAACTTTTTAAAAACAAATACTTTTTAAAATTCTACATAAGCAAAAAAATACACATTTTACTTTAACACAACTTTAGTTTAATAAATTTCTTCGCTGTCACCTCTCAACTGAGTAACGTTTTTTTTTTGGTAGAATGAGATCGCTTTCACTTTCAGAATTTCTTTCTTCATTTAAAATTCTGGCATTTTCTTCCCTCTTTAAAAAATATATAATTTTACTTTGCTTAGTAGTTCTTACTGGGTCAATGTAAATTTATCAATAGGGAGTTAGAGTTCTGCAGCTTCCTTTTGAATTTTCGGCTTATTTCAGTGGAAAGGTCTGCAGTCAAGAAAAATGATTCGAGATTTTCAGCTAAGCTTAGGCTTTCTTTTAATTTTTTTAATGTTAACTCATTAACTGCACAATCTTCATCAGTGCTAGTGTCCTCAGAATCAATTTGGTGTACGGCTTCAGATGCCATTTCCATCTGCCTAATTGATTTTGAATCGGTTACATCTAAAATCCACTGTAATGCTGTTCTTACGTAATGTGTTTTAAAGTTATAACTATTACTACCTATAGCCAATGGTTGGGGTGATGAAGTAGTGTTAGGGGGATGATTCAAATCTTGTGCATGACATGGAGCTTTATCTAATAGTAATAGCACCTTGAAGCTCAAAGTTTTCTGCTTTAATTAACATTCAGCGTCTGGCACAAAACACTTTAAAGCCAATCTTTAGCTTCATAACAAGCCGATGCAAATTCTCCTTGAATTCTTATGCTATGAATTGCAAAACGCTTTTTGAAATTTGTGAACCAACCTTTACTTGCAGAAAATCTGTATTTACAGAGGATTCTCCATGTTCTTTAAGGTGCTTGAAAATTTTACGTGCTTTTTGTGTAATGACATTAACATTCGACAGAGTTCTTTTTTGACAGTTATCATAAATCGAAATACTGAATGCCTTTCCCATCTTCTCAATTATTGGCGCCCAGGGGCGAACTGCACGTTTTGCGGATGTCAAAGTTCCTGCAGAAACTGCACTTCTTATTTCTTTCTCATTTTTCTTAATAGCCTGGACTGTTGCTTCATTCAAATTAAAACTTTTTCCAATGTGAGGTGCCTTTTCTCCTTTTAAAAGATGGTCCAATATTTGTATGTTTGCTTCTAAAGAAACGAATTTCCTCTAAAACGGTTTTTTTTTTAATCAGACATGTTTTGAGACTGAAACTTAATGATTTAAATATGAAAAAGTTATTCTTAAACATACACCGTGACTAGACGCAGACTGCCGACCAGCAGTGTGAGACACTTTTCTTTTCAGGCTACGGAGATCAGGATTCGAATTTTGAAAGCTGAACGTGCAGGTTGTGCGTTTTAGAGTACTTATTGGACCTCATGTTGCTCACCTTCTGCAATGTTGAGGTTTCTTCATTGTTATCTGGTGATTGTGGTCTCTTGAGCCTGGGTATTGTTTGGCAATTTGTTTTGTGTGTGTTGAGAGAAACAGTGTTGTAGAAGGTTTCTTGCAATTTTTTAATCGTGTTATAGCAAAACCATGTTACAGGATGCCATATTGTAAGAGGACTACCTGTATTTGTGTATGTATATATATATGGTAGAATTCCTTTAATTTGCATACTTAAGAACCAAGAGTTATTGAGGTAGTGAATTTTGCAGTTTATAGGTCATGTCTTTTTTAATTTTGTTTACGTTTTTACCTTTTTAATTGTTATAGTGCATTTAAATTATTTGCATATAAATAGCTAAAATATATGCATGTTTTAAGGATCATTTAGACGAAACCATTATGCTTTTAAATATTGCATACATTAATATTTAAATTGTTACGTTTATTTTTTTGCAATATTATTTGTATTGTTTATTGTTTTAACACTATAGGTTTTTCTTTCAGTATTTTTTCAGTATTCAATATCACTATTTCTGTCTTTATTGCCATTATTAAAGTCTGGTTTATTAGAAAATGCTTATTTAGGCAAAACTGAGAGGCAAATTATTTTTAGGCATAATTATATTATTGGCATAATGCTAAATCCTTAATAAATCTAATTTAGTCAAGTAAAAATGGAAGTAGTTCAAGTATAAAGTAAAACCACAGTAGAGAGAAAAGGGTAAGGAAGTGTTTTGAAGGATAAAATAACTGTTTCTTAAAAAAATATTAAATTATTTTACATAACAAAAACTGCATATCTGTGATAGGATTTCCTTTCAAAATAATTTTTAATAATTCTCTTTTAAACAGAAAACAGAAAAATCTGCAGAGATTCACAGTCTAGTATGCATGTAATAACAAAGCGATAAAAGGCTCTATAAAGCATGCAAAAGAAGCTAAATATGATTATTAATAATCTAACTTTACGTTTTCAATTAAAATTTATGACTCGTACAGTGTACTTTCGTTTATAAGTTATTTTTATATATGTGTGTGTAACAAAGTGCCAGTAAATTTCTCCCATGTAGAATTTTTCAGAATTAGTTTTGTTTATGTATATCCAAAAATATGCACAGATTACAAGCATTCACTGATTATTGGAATACTACTTTATGTAACATCAAACCAGTTAGGATTATTTAAAATGTATTTCCATTTTGAGAATATGAAGAACAAAGAATACATATTGAGAACATATTTGAAAATAGAATATAGGGTACAATTTGATAATGAAGTGCTTTGACAAAAATTCAGAATTTTTTAATAGATATTTAATGTCTTCTTTCTAATTTGGCTATTTGGTCAATAAAAACATTTATATTTAATAGACAGGTGTAGTGCTTAGGAAATGGATTCTATAATTTTGAATAACTTTGGTTCAGTTTAAAAAGATCTTTCTAATATAAGAAAAATGTTTGTTTCAAATGTTTTTTAAATTAAAATTTTAATTTTATTTCTAATTTATGAATTAATGAGTTAAACTTTTCGTAATTTCCAGCAATAAACAATTTAAAAGATTGTTTACTGTTAATTGTTTTCATCTTTTATTTATTATTATGTATAATATACAGAGCTTGTAGACTGAAACTAAATATTTCATTTCCAAAGCACCTTTTTTTTTTTTTTTTTTTTTTTTTTTTGAGATCATATTAAATTTAGAACTGTTTAAAGAACAGATGCTGCTAATTAAAACTTTCAAACTCATTTCACTCTTAATTAGTTAATTAATTAACAAACAGATTTTAATTCAAATAATTAATAATTGTTCTGCATTCTTGTCCTGTGGATTATTAAAAATTTCATGCAGAGCAGCATATTTTCTGTTTGGATTAGGTAAGTGTTCAGTATCCGTAATTAAAGCTTTATGGCTTAATAATATAGGAAAATTTATTGCTTATAAATATGTGACCTATGTAACTAAAATCGAAAGACTTTCATTTTCAACTTTGTTATTTTAAGTGCTGACCCTTATTAGGTAATGATTTCAGGATAAAGAATGAAATTTAAAACTAAAATATGATATCATTCTTATGTCATTTCCTTTAGAGAAGTTCTTGTTTAAACGAAACTTCTGAGTGAGAGTAAGCATAGCTAAATCTCATTTGCTGAATCAAACTAGTGAAAATTAATGCTGTATTTTGGTCCCAGCATTTAACCCTTTGCGACACGCATATTTAAAATATATTTTAATCTTTGAAAAATTGCTTTAGAATAAGTCACATGGACTTACTTAAGTGCCTTTAAAGCTTGAAAAAAATTATGCGCTTTTATTTTTTACGGGGGAAGGTGGGATACCGTTTGTCCCACCATGCAACTAGCACATGTCTTATAGCATATTGGTGTATAGCAGGGGGAAAAAAAATCATATGTGGAATGAATAAACAAAATAAAGCGTGCATTCTAAAATATTCATAATAAACACACTAAAAGGCATTTTGTACTTATTGCATATATGCATGACTTGTATAATTTTGCATATGCACATTTTGCATATATATATTTCATATTTTTAAATTTTAAGAACAAAAGAAAATATTTTCTTGAATATTATTTTAAGATTAAAATTTGATACACGTACATATGATACTAAATAAAGTATTAAAATTGGCACTTGATTCAAAAACATTTGTATATGATTAAAACTGAAAAAAAGTCATTTTTCATGTAAACTTTGAAAAACATGTTGTTTCATTCTTTTGTAAGCATAGAGGCACTTCACATCTTTCACACATCCAAAATGTTCGTCGTTCTTCTTTCGATGTGCTGCAATATGCACATCTTCTCCTGCTCTCGTTTATCTTTGGTGTGTGACTTACATTTTTTAGTCTCTTTCTGGTTGTACGAACGGTTTTTTAGTTTTTATTTGAACTGGGGATTTCAGTTTTTCTTTTCAGCTCTTTCTTGCCTGCAAGTGCCATTAGACCTTCTATAACTGAGAGACTAAAATCTTTCATTGTTTTTACATCATGATCGGGTTCGCGAACAAACTTATAATAGAATAAATGTGCATTTACTATACTTCGCATCTAAAAGTAAAAAAAAAAAAAAAAATCCTGTGCCACCATTTCTTGCTTTTGCGGTCTATTTCATATAGTCCTTTCAGTTGATCAAATCAAGTCGACATATCCCATATGTCTTGTATGAAATAATGCTGTTTGGGCACAGTACTTTTTTTGTCTTTCCATCTCATTCTTTTCTATTAATTTCTTTCATTTCAGTTGCCTTTTCCAAGCAAGACAGGATAGAAGCGGATCTTTTATCATTCCATTTTATGCAATAAATAGAATCATCGCTAACTGAAAAGTCTATATATTATCTTGACATAAATTTGTGGGTAGATACTTCCGATTCATATTTACAGTGCTACATGCATAGATGGGTCTGTGTCTTTAAAAAGCAAAACAAATTATAATTACTTCCCCTTTCTTCTTCAGCAATAACTTCAACCTCAGTTATTCTCTCTTGGATTTCAATTTCATCTGAATCAGAACTGACATCTGAAGCATTTGAGTGCAATTGGATGGCAATTCAGCAAAAAGATCCAAAGCTTCCTGAGTTGTTAATTTTTTTCTAGACATTTTAGCACATCAGAGCATACAACAAAGCGCGCGCAATCACGAAAAAAGTAGATGCAAAAAAGAAAAGAAAAAATAACCGTGAGTGCTGCCATCTATTGAGCGGAAATTCAAGTGTGTGGTGGGACAAATTTTAACCCACTTATTTCAACTGCAAAATTAATGTTATAAAATATTCAATCCAATTAAAATTTTTGAAAATAAAATACCTTTGAATATTAGAAAGATTCATACATATCATAAATTGTATACCAAAATTTTTAAAATATTGAAAAATGCGAGATAAATGGATATCACTCTTGTGATCCTATTTTGAATATTTTTTGCTTATAAACTTAAGCCCTGGCATAGTAGTGACATCTACTGAGAAAAATAATAACTAAAATAGATTATTTTTAAAAGATTAGAAAGTTTCTAGCGGAAATTGCTAACTGAGAAAATAAATATTAATTAGGTGGGACATATATTGACCCACCATGCCGCAAAGGGTTAAGCGATGTAAAAATATGTAAAAGATAAAAATAGATTTAATAAAAGATGCTGTAAACATAGTAGGTTATATGATGAAATTAAAAAGAAAAAATTGTGCTTGCAATCTTTAATACATTGAGTAATTATCTATTTAACTAGTTAACTATTTTATTTCTAAATCTCAATTGAAATATTTTTGGACTCTTAGGCGTAAACTAGTCATTGTTGTGTATTACAATGTGTATGTCAACATATAAATATTTTCACTTAGATTGTGCTTCCTTTTAGTTTTGCAACTTAGAAATGTGACTGTTACTCCACATGTAAATATTTTCATTAGTCATCTGATAAAACTGCATTCAGTGTAAATTATATCTAATCTTAAATTTTGCATCTTTTGGCTTGGTGGAAGTTATGAATGTCAAGAGTCATCGTTAGAATGTGAATGAAGTAAAAAGGATTATTCATCTGTTTTGTTACTACAAAGGAAAGAGTAAAATATTTTTGCAAAGAGTAAAATATTTGCAAAGAGCGAATGAGTAAAATATGCAAAGAGTAAAATATTTTTGCAAGTAAAATTGTATTGATTTAAAATTTTGTAATAAGCTTGTTAATTTCGCATTTCTAATTTGTCTCGGGCATTCTGCTACAGATTTTTTTTTTTTTTTTTTTAATTTTAATTCTGTATAATTTGTATGTTCTGTTATTCTTAATTATTATAATTGTCTTTTATATGTATTAACATGAAGAGTTTAACTGGGTAATATTTTTTGTTCTGTATAGCTTTTAATGTTGATGCACAATATTTCAAACCTGCTTATATTTTAAATGGCCCCGGACCTAAGTTGAAATCTCTTCCTGGAGGTAATTATTAGGTTACTTTTTTTGTTACAATGTATCATGCAATTGTTATGTATGTTACTGAATTGTGTAAATATCAGTATCTTGTAACACATTTAATTTTTTTAAGTTATTTGCTTTAACTTATCAGACTGTAGATATTTTATTGCAGAATAATGCTTAAATGTAGTTGAACATCTTTAGTATTAATAATAATATTAGCTGTAATTATGGGTAAGTATTGAAATTAAGTGGGTTATTTAAATTTTATGTTCACATATTACTTATATAAGCTATTTTAATATTTTTGATATGATAATGCAGTCTTTATTATTAAATATTAAAGAATCTGTGTGTGTTTAAGTTCCTCATATTGGGCAAGAAACAGTGGCACGTAGACCCACCAGATTTTGGACGCTTGTAATTCTCTGCCTGAACATGAGCGCCATGAAGCCTACCTTTATTTATTTATTTCATGTTTTGTACAAATTTAATAAATTCTTGATTAACAAGCTTGGTAATATAAAAGCAATGTGATGCTACTCTGCAAAGCATAAAATACTTGTGTTTGAAATATAATGAGAAAACTTGACAATTAAAAAAAAATTGTTGCTACTCAACAAAGGGGCGACAATTGGTTAGTCTTTCAAATTTAATAAAAAAAAGGTAATTGATTTAAACGAAACCCTGATCTAAAATATTTTTATATTCTTCAGTGTACTAATTTGTTGCTATTCATTCAAGCATAAAATATTTTTGTTTCTTTGAATTTTAATATTTCTGTTACTAATTAAGTAAGAGATTTAAAAGAAATAAAGGCAGTTCTTTATTGTTATCGATTACTAACTGGACCCATGAAATTATGCTAGCTGAATTCATTTAAAGATTACATATTTTTATTTTTTTTATAACGATGATTTAGACCATTAGTTGCTTAACCCTTTGGCTGCTCATCCCGCAACCACAGGCAACTCAAATGTAGCAAAATATGCTCATCCCGCATTTCCGCGAGCATGTGTTTTTCTTTTTTTATTGAGGAACGCATCCAGTTTTCTCCCCATTTAACCCATTGAAATAAATTATATACAGTATTAGATGTTTAGTGTACGTTTTGGCCAACAGATGTCGTTAGTTGTCAACTAAATTGCGGCATTTGAAGGCACGTGGTATTACCGCTCAAACTTCTTTTTGCCACTTTTTCTTACAGAAATAGCTGCTAGGAAATGTTCAGCTATTGACAGAGAGTATGTTCCTGATGACTTATCAGATTCTGAAAGTGATTTTAGTTTTGATAGCGATAGTGATAGTAAGACAGAATTTTTGGACTGCTCCTCAAATAGCGAAGACTCTGAACATGATTCAGTAAACTTGAACTCTATCATACTAAACTGCGTTTCTAGTTTATTTTTTCCTCGGTGCTTTATATTTTCTTAAATTTTTCACATTTTACTTTTTATATTATGCAATAAATAGAAATTAACTGTAATTCAAAGGAAATTTATTAAAAACAAAAATTTTTTTTTGTGATAACATCTGAAAATGATTTTTTTGGCAACTTAGTTTCTCATGATAAAAATCTATATAAAAAATACTTTCTAAAAAGAAAAAATGCATTTTTCAGTTCTCCAATATTGTATAAATTTAAAATATGCAAAATAAAAAATACACAATTTTTGAAGCGATTTCGGTCCATAAATTGAGCAATCAGAGAGTTAATAAGATGTTAATTCATTTGATATAGTTGAAAGAATTGAAACTTCTGGTTGAACGCATATATGTGAAAATAATCGAATTATGGTAAATCATTCATGATTTATCTGCCTAAGAAGGAATTCTTTTATGGGGAACTGTTATGATAATAGACATGGGATTTCATTTCAAAAACACCCATATAAACATAACTTGTCACGCCATTGGGAGAGGAGGAAACTGTGCCAAAGTTTAGAGACATTAGGAACTTGGGAGTGGAAAACTTTAAAAAAAATTTACCATGCTTGAACTTGGAATCAAACATCAAAACTGCACATAACTGATTTACTAACTGTTGTACCACAGGAGTACATCAAAGGAATAAATTTAATTCCTTTTAAAACTACTGCTTATACTTGACAACTTCAATTATTTTTCCCATTGCTGCTTATGTTATTTTTCGAATTTGCTTTCATAAAGCAACATTTTTCAATGTTTTAAGTCTTTATCCCAAATCCTTTATATAATTGAAGATGAGGGACCGATCAGTTTTTTCAAAGTCAGTTTGAATTTAAATAAAAGATATGAACTGTTCTACAAAATTGTCTTTATTTCAGGCTTTTTGTTGATAATCTGTTTTTCTCTAGTAGTCAGTTTTAGCAATCATGTTTCAGAAATCAGTTCTTCTTTAGTAAGGTCTGCCAAAAGTGGTAGTTAAGGAGTTTTCTCCTCTCTCTCCCCGTCCCAAGTTGTACATAATTCAGCAGTCATACTTATATACTGAGGCCATTATAAAATGCTTTTTATAAACCTTTATTATCAATAAGGTTATTGATAAACCTCTATTATCGCAGAGATACTGATCATCCCCACAAATTTTCCCTTGATCTTCTTATGGCCAATTCATTGATTCTTATTGACCTGTTTTAATTTTCTTGGTACATTAGTTCTTTATCAGTTCAAACTAATGGCAACTACTCATTACCAAAATTTTGTGTTCTACCACTTTGCACATTATGCCCCATTTTTGTTAGGCTAAAGATTTTAGTTTGTCCTACATGATAGGTACATTTCTAGGTTTAGCTGTACAAGTACCTGTTGCAGCAAAGTTAATAATGATTATTATTTTGATTGCTTTATAAGCACATTCATGCTCTTATAAAGCAATCAAAACATAGAACTATATTTAGCTTTTTTATTGTTGCTGTAAGAAACTTGACAACTCATTCTTCAAGGGTAGTTCATCGTATATCATGCTTTATCAGAATATGGGTTTACATTGTATTTTTACCCAGAATCAGCATTAAAGCAAAACTGATTCATTTATTACCTGAAATTGGTTGTTTTGATGATATTTACTTCAAGTAGAAAATCAGTTCATCCCTGTTAAATGTTTTTGGAGCATTCAGAAACTTTTTTGCTAAAATAAAGTAATTTTTGAAGTGTATATCTCTCATGAAATAATATTTACAATTGTTTTATTTCTGATTAAATCTTTTTTTATTCTAACAACATTCAGAACAGAGATGCCATTATGAATGTAAATCCAAGAGCTCTAAAATTTCATTCTTGTTTAGTTTTCCTGTTTTATTTTGAAATTTGTTTAGTTGCTCAGAACGCTGATTAGAACAGTTAACTGTTTGCAGAGAATGAAGTAACATTTTATATGAATATTTAACATTTCTTTGTCATGTCTGTGAGCAAATTCTTTTAGTGAAGATGGTTTTAGCAGTCTCGTGTTACATTTAAAATCTGCTGAACAAAAGATTGTTTATAGATCTGTCTCTGACTGGGGGGGGGCAGGTTAAGTCACAAATGAAATTTGTTCCTGAATACTTCATTTCTTTTCTCATCTTTCCCTCGTCCTTAGAAATTGAAGTTTTTCAAGATTTCCTTAACTAGATTCAATTTTCATGTTCTGAAAATATATTATTGAGTTCATAATCATCAGGTATTAAATACTGGATGTTTGTTCCCAACAGTATACTTCAGCTTCTTCATTTTAATGTTAATTCTTCAACTTAATGAGTAAAAATGTGTTCGTCAACAGAGTAGCTTGTACATAGACCTTTCGTTTTGCCGGCACAGGCGATAAAGTCGCCAGTAGTGGTACAACTAATCCCAAACTAAATATCCTCTCTGGTAACCTTTTACGCCTCATTTTCAAAAAAATCGCAGCTATTTTTTATCATAATGATTATTTCTTTCAATACTGGCATAAATTTACATAGAGTTTTTATAAGAAAACTCAATTTTATGCCCTAAGGCCATTCACACTGGCAAAACAGAAGTACCGTTTTTATCTAAGGAGCATGAATAATAACACAAAACAAATATCCTAAATGCGTCTTTTTTGGATTTTATGTGATAATTAATGAGTTCTTTGATAAAGACATCCATAAAAGTAAAACTTATGTGAACATTGAAATGATCATTCTGATATATGAAGCAAATTAAGAATTTCTTAATTTTGGCAAAATTTTTTTGTGAAAAGCGAAAATAGAATAATAGGTACTTTTCTAATAGGTTCTATGTACATAAAATCGCATAGAATTTTTACCACATTGCTCAATTTTATGTCCTAAGGCAATTCATGTTAATTAAGTCGGTAAAAGTTTACAATTGGGTGCCCCTTGTTTTTTGGCGATTCGTTTTTGACTCCAAGATTGACGCCAGGAAGGCACATTTTCAAGATGGCCGCTACGCAAAACCAAAATAAGAAGTCAAATAATTGCACAAACTGTGTGTCCATGTACACATCAATCTATTTTCACTTAAAAAAAATCCTAGAATTGTACAAATTAGCCATTACACATTGCCTTAAATTTGTCCGTATACACATCAATCCATTTTCATTTCAATAAAGGAAGCTAAAACACGGTTAAAACTATCATGGTAACCAGAAGTGAGGTATCATCGCCAAAATTTCTAAAATATCTAAAATAGAATCTAAAAAAATCTAAAATAGATTTTTTTTTTTTTTTTAAATTAGATTATCTTAAAAAGTTATTCAATAATATTTTGAAATATGTTGGCAAATCAGAAATTTAAAATTTTCTATTTTACAGTAATGTTATTTTTAGTTGAATGAAACTCTGACTTGGGAGTCGATTGAATAAATCTATGAAACACAAGACACTCTCTGTTAAAAAAATCCAGTTCTAGAAAAAAGGAACAGATTAGCTGCATGAGTGTTTTTATTCCCACAAAAGCATCTTGTCCATAGCAAATGGCCCTTGTAAATGTTACTATATTTACCTAAGTTACCTGAATTGTTTCAAATTAAATTTTCCTACTGTTTTAGAATTTGAGGATTTTATTGGCTAGTAACATATATTGTAGGAATATTATGCTATGTAATGTATTTTTGATTTGATGATTCTAATACCTGTAATAAATGTTTTTTTAGTTGCCAAAAGAGTTTCTAGGCTTCGAGAACACACTGTCAGTCTAATGCACAATGTGCTATATGGAAGATCAGAAAGCGTAAGTATAAAAAAATAGGTATTTGTCTTACATAATACAATCAAGCTTTTTTATGTTAGATTTCAATATTTATCCCAAATTTTTTATGTACATATTGCATCTATAACATTTCAGGACTGCTTTTTTTCCCCTGCTAAACCTAACAAAGCTGCTAATAACTTTGTTGCAGGGATTAGCAACTTATCTCAATTTCTGTAAACTGTTATTAGCTTATGGGAAACAGTTTGGTTGGTTTCTTAGTTTGTTTTATGCTGCTGATATCAAGAATTCCCAAATACTTGGAAGCTACATTATGTTTGAAATCCTTTGATATATAAAATAATGGCATTGCTGGCCATTAAAAATGCTACACCTATGGGAAAAGCAAACAACAAAACTTGAAATCTGCATTAAAGTTAGAACATGCTGATATATGCAACTGATTAGTAATTAATGATATATGAACAGTGCAGGCCTAAGTAATATGATATCTTGAAAAGAAGCATGATAAAGGCAGATGAAAATGCCACTTTTCTATTCCAAAATCTTGTTTCGACATACTCTCTCTTTTTTTCCCCCCTTTCTCATTTTAATGTGTATCTCTTATAAGAACTACTTCATACCAGTGTGTTTTAGAATTCAGTCATGGGAGAATCTTAGCCTACTAGGCCTGTGAATTATCATACCATGCAAATACTGCTTGCATTAGTCAAGATCTGTTAAGGGGCTATCACACGTCGGTTTGTTTCGGAAGAACAACTGTTTGGAACAATTTTTCTGCTTTGTCACAACAGCCAATCAAAACAGATCGCTTTGGGGTTAACGCAGGGGAAACTGGTTCCCCACTACAAACAAGCTGATAGCAATCGAAGCTGATAGCTGATTGGTTGAAAACGAACAACCTGCAATTTTTTTGGAAAGGAGGGAAAAAGTCGTGCATCTTTCTTTCGATAATAAACCAGGCAGAAAAATTGTCCGAAACAGTTGTTCGTGTGAAACAAACGCCGTGTGATATGGGCCTTAGGGTTGTGAAAATTTGAATAATGGTCTTACGGGACACCACATGCAGTGGTAAGCAGGATTCCAACAACTTACACTCAATAATAACAGAGACAACAGACATCTTGTCTGCATTGCTATTTAGAAGCATACAGCCATGTCACAAATACTGGGTCAGGAAGTTGAGTATATTGTGTAACATCAAGTAACTGCATGTACAGTATGATGATATCTACAACACTAATGAATAGTCTACAAGGTAACCATTGCTTTGGTTTCCATTGACACTAGAGCTCATAAATAACTGATTACAAGGGTGTGTTCAACATAGCATATGGATACATCAATAGTGTGATGTAATTTTTTCAAAAGAATCCCCCTTTTCCTCTACATTTCTGTGTTAGTGGCATTGATGGAAATGAATGTGAGGCATTGGGAAAGCTTGCACTCTTTCTCTTTATATTAGCCAGCATCTGGACTGATGGCAAGGAGTGCCATTAGGTACACATCGTGTTCACTTCTTGTCTGCATATCCAGTACTTTGTGCAGCTGCTCTTATGTTATTGAGATTTTAATGACTGTGTCTGGGCTGTATCTAGGAACTTAAGTGCTTCACCTTTCAGCTGAACAGTGCAAGAATGCATATTTTTGTATTGTCCTATACACTGAATGTTAGATTCCTGCCTCCGCTGATTTTTCAATGAATGAAAATATTAGTGGACAACTATCCAGCCAGTATAACAGATGAGCTCTGGCATAGAACTGAAATTGCATGGACTGCAGTATTCATTATTACCATCCACATCTGTTTTTCGTGCCCAACTGCTATTGTTGTCAAAACTGGATGCCCAAAATACTGATTTCTGCATGCTCTGTATCTCAAAATTACCTGAATTTTAATTATCTCACCTTTCCATTGTACTGTATTTGTAACATAAATATGCTTCTCTTAGCTGCTGTAGCACCTGGGATAAATAGCCAGCAGTGTATGATAAATAATAATAATAATAAATGGGATTTATAAACTCAGAATTTTAAATATAAAATTATATTTAAAAATTAAAAAGTTACACAATTAGATGTATAAATTAAATGAAGTTGCTAACCATAATAGATTTTTGGGTGCTTACATAACTAGCTGAGTGCAAATGATATACAACTTAGTAATCCTGGAGGAAACATGAGCAATCCGGAAAATAGCTTGTTATGTCAAATTGTACTCTATGTGTGGGATATCTGTGCTACATCATTAGAGAAATGCAACAAAATTATAATATTAATAGTCCAAATTGAAATATTACTGAAGTGGACAAAATGTTACTAAACATGAAAACTAAGCTAGCTTCTTCTACTTATTCCTTTCTAAGATGCTTTATTTTTCAAATAGAGGAGGACTCTTAATACAAGATTATCTTGATGTATGTTATTAATCCATTCCAGGTTTTTGGATGTATAACAAATAAGCTTTTCCAATAAGAAATAGTCTGTTATAAAAGTATCGTAATATTATTGTAACACTGTTTAATACTAAAATACATATGTAGTAGATGAAATATATACTGTACTTAAATGAAACACTGCACATGAGACTGTATACAAATGTTCTGCTATCCAGATCAAAAGGAATTTTTCAACATGTTCTAACATCTGTGATCTTTGTTTGGAAATAGATTTCTCCCCCTTTAGAACATTGGTGATTTAATAGCACCTTTCTTTTTTCACAATCGTAGATACCATTATGTTTGGCATATGGTATGAGATGGCTAAGTTCAGGATATACATACTCTCTGTCTACGGTAAGAACAGCTCTCGCCAGTTTGTCTGCGGCTGTCTGTTGCCATAGAAACGAGCCGGCCCATTTTTCGTAGGGGGTGTCTTGAAGATTTACTTCCCAGTTTGCCACCTTGGCATATTTAAAGATGATTTGGCGATATTCACATTTTGTTTTAGTTTCAAGTAAAATGCTCGTTGACCCTTTGCGTCGACCCCGACATTCAATTTCCGAAAATGAAAATTGATGGCGTAAATAAAGTTTTTGCAGTTAAAAAACGGTCTTTGATTTTGCCGTGTGAGATACAAGTCACTGAATTTGCCATTCTTCTAGATGTACAATGAGTAAAAATATATCAAAATAACTTGTAGGGAAATGCATTTAAAAATCCGTGCTTATTTTTGAAGAAAAATGCTCTCAATAAAATACTTTTTGGGAACATTTCTTTTCCCATACCTTCAAACTAAACCAAAAGCTGGTCAATTTAATGACGAAAGGAAGCGAAGGTAAATTAAAATCAAAACTGCTTTTTACTTAATTACCAGTGGTTTGGGTTGGTTTATATAATTACGGAAAGCCTCCAGGGTTAAATGCCTAAGAGGAGGGATGCCTTCGTGGAGGGCTTGCTAAGGAAAACTGCCTCGTATACACGTTACACATGGGGAAAACACCCATGCAGCCAGTCCGTTCACGGGATTCAAACCGCGGACCGAACTACAAGTGTTTAGTGACTTTACCGATTGGCCTCTGCTGGGCCTCTTAATTACCAGCGCCCATTTATGCATCATGCTGCTTTTTATAGACACTGTAATAGCTTGTAACATAATAAAATGTTAAAATCAGAACAAAATTAAGGTCTCTTAAATTATTCAGTTACCTATTTTATATTTAAAAATACAAATTTATATAAAATTATACAAAATTTGGCTTTTATAACTGCAGTGAGCATTGTTGCATTAATATAATTTTGTATTAATATTTTCATAATAAAAACAAAACTTATTTAATTTCAATTAAAGATTAAAAATTATTTTTTAAGCAAATTATACCATGGCTTGTGGGTCCCCAAGAACACAGTAATGAGAAATGAAGCAACCATTCAGTGTTCTTTATTATCCACAGGGGGGGTTTCGCCTCTGCCGAAGGCCCATTGTTGCCCACTTTTGGTAATCTTTCATTTACATAGTGGCAAAGAAAATATTGAACCTAGAAATATCCTCACAACTTGACAAAGCTATCAGATGAAGAAGAGCGATGCCTTCGTGGAGGACTTTTATAGAGGTATAACATCTGAAAAGTCATCTGAGTCACTGTCGCAAGATTCTGTTTCTTCTGAATCAGAATCAGAATCGCTGCTGCCAGTTTGAATTATTAATCCATCCACTATCTCTTCTAAAAGTTCGTCCTTGTCCCAATAATAATTTTCAAGTTTTTCTACGTGGTTGCAGTGCGCCTGCCATTCTTGAGAAGTGACTTTCATCCAAAGCTTTTTGTGTTAAATTTTTCAAATTTTCCAGTCACATTCCTTTCCCTGATCAGTCTTTTAACTGATGACCAAACATATTCAATTGCGTTTAGATCACAGTGGTAAGGAGGGCGACTCACAACATGATGCCCATTTTCCTTTATGATGTTGTCAATTTTATATGTTACTTTTTTAGGACGATTGCATTCTATTAAGCTCAACAGTTCCGCTTTTCGCATTTTGGGATCGCAGCATATCATCTTCTTCATCAGCCAATTTACCATTGTTTGCTTTGTAGCATATTTCGTGGGTGTCGGATCTTCAATTTTTGTGTGATACGGGGCATTTATCCATGCATACCATACTTTGAGGTCGTAAATTTGGAAGAAGCTTTTCCAACACCCATTTTTCAAAATTTCCATAGTTCATTTGCCCATGGTAATCCTTGCTTTGAGCTGATGCTTTATACATAAGTTGGGCACCTGGAATAAATCCTGCGGAAGAGCTAGCATGGACAACAATCAGTCTATTTTTGGAACTGACATTTATCTGTGCGCCCAAAACCGTATCATGCTGCCAACATTTCTTAAAAGTTAAATTGCTGTCAATCCATGTTTCATCGATGTAAACGATGTGGCGTCCACTTGCTCTGAGTTTCCACATGTCGCGTAAATAATTGTTCCTCCAAAATACAATGTGAGGTCTTTCGATAAGAATTTTTCTTTTGTTAACACATTTCTTCCAGCGAAAATTCATCGAACGCAAAACTTTGCACGAGTCTTTTTG